TTTTTAATCCCATACAAAAAGCTTTAAATGGTATCATTTCTTATGCTGAATTAGTAAGATTAGAATCTGACTTGTTCCTTAAAAAGCTTTCAAAATAGAACGGTACCTCAGTACCGTCCCGCCTCGAGCTGGTAGTTACCTGCTATCACTGTGGACAGGTTGGAGGCTGGAAGCTTTACCCAGGCTGGATGGGGCTCCGGGCGCGTGTTCCTCTCTGCTTCTGCCCACTCCACCACGTATCCGCTGATGGACGCAGTCGATCTGATGGGCGGTTTCCAGCTGATGAGGATGCTGCTATTTCCCATGGCTACGGCAGAGACTTCCTGAGGAGGAGGTAGGTCTTGCAGGGGAGAAAGAACAACAAAAAGAAAAGACACTGTCAGCACAAACTTGCCTTAACCTCAGGTGGACTCAGTAAGGTTGCTATATGGGTTTTACTGTGCCTCATCCAGTTTGGCACTGTGCAACATATAAAAATAAACTGCCATTGAAAGAAAAGGTATTTACACGAGAGCGATCCCTACGCCGATAGGAACAGAGCCGCGTCCTTGTCCTGTCTCATGGTGCAGCGGTTTGAACATCCAGAGCTTTGCCTGTTTGTACCACCCCCGAGCCCTGAGGGGACGCTGTCACGGCACGTACCGACACCCCGCTCCCGTGACTGAGCTACAAACACCCATCATCTCCACAGGACAAGCTCTTGCTGTCACAATTAGGGCCAGGTTACTTTTTCTGGCAGGAGAAAATGTTGGGAAAGTCACCAATTTCGTCAGTATCTTTTCTGAACAGTTTTGCTAACACATGCAAGTGAACCGAGCCCACAAAACAGTTCTTGTCTGACTGCCTGCAAATAATCGGATGACCGGTGACATTTTTGCACCTATCCTATCTCTGCCTCATGCAGGGGCTCATGTAACCAGTGCAGCCTGCAAGCTGAGGAGCTGTGCATCTACCTCCGAGGGAGGAGAGCATCCCACTGACTTTGGATGCAGCACTGGGAAAAGGTGAAATAGGTGGCAGTGGCTCTGTCACTGTTTTACCAACGTTACAATGGGACAGGAGCAAATAGAGAACTGCTTCTTCGAACAAACTGCCTGAGACCGCAAGGCTCCGTCGTGCTTGGTACTGGCACAGGAAATTCAGGGCTGGGTGAGTTCAGGGAACGCTCGTTAATTTTGCTGTGCGGGTACAGCAGAGTGCAATTTCACAGGAGATAAAGCTTGTGTGATTTCCCTTCAGTCCTGCTGCCTCTCATGAAAGAAAAAACCAAAACCAACCTTTTTTTTTTTTTTTTTTTTTTTTTTGGCATGGTTAATTTTCTGCTGTGTCAGGTCCTTGGATGGCTGATGGCATGGTTTGTGCCTGTGTCGGCACAAGGGTTTGAGATGAAATTACAGCAGTACTAATGCGGAGCAACTTAACCTGTCATGAAAGTGCACCCCTGACCACACTGAGAACTGGACCTGCAGATCTCTGAAGACTCACGGAGATGGGTCTTGATGAGCGCAAGGTGGTGGGACCTGAACGCTTCCGCAGTGTGTAGCACAAAGCAGAGCACTGGCATTATTCCCAGTGGTCCAGAGCCAGCAGAAGCCCTTACCCTGGATGCCCAGGTTGGTCACGATGGATGCAGGGGGAGACCTGCCCTTTGAGTTCTCAGCGGTGACAGTTATCTTGTAGCCCACCCTTGGCGTGACTCTGGCGTAGCTGGTTTGGTTGGTAAGGTGCACTTCTGCCAGGGGTCTCTGCTGGTGCAGGGCTTCGAAGGTCACTGTGTACCGCAGGATTGTTCCTCCTGCCTCCGACCTGCTCAAAGCCTGTGAGGAAAGTGCATTTGTTACTCTCTTAGCTTCTGATGAGCAAAGGATGTGAAAGTTGACCAAAGTGGGGTGCCCCGGCAGGCTGCCCAGGGAGGTTTCAGACCTGCTTGTGGAGGGAGGTGTGGTTGGCCATTTGTGAAGCAAGCATTTTACTTGCCTATAAACGAACCTACGACCACGAAAGGGTTCTGTGTGTCACAGCCACAAGCCCTCCCGAACGAGGCTTTAGCAAGCCTGCACGCTGAGGCAGGGCTGCAGTTTGTCCACCCACGCTGGGATGCCCGGTGCAGCAGTGATGGCACTGCCCCACGCCGAGCCCACTGCCTGGCAGCAGGGGGTGGCTTCAGAGCATCTCCCTAAGCCCGGGGCTCAAGCTGCCCCATTTAAGTGAGGAACTTTCACTCAAAGATCATTTTTCCCCTTCCTTTTCTGTTCCAGTAGTAAAGAGGTTATTTACAGCGACAGCGTTACTTGCCGGGGGACAGCACACACCAGCTAATGTTCTTTGGTAACTGATTATCAGGTTTTACTTTCTCCTCCTCTAGAAGCTGGAGGAAGCAAGCGGTGCTACAGAGATTGCTTGCTCACTTATCGGGACTGCTTTCTTCTGTAATATATTTTTTTTTTTTTTAAATTAAGATTTGTTGGCCTGAAGCACAGCTAGAGCTTTTTAAAGGTAGCGTAGTTTCCCCATCAGTACCAACCTAAGAAGAAATGTTCATGAGAGAACAGGCACTTTTATTGCTAAAAAGATAATATTTTTTTCCAAAGCAAGCTAGTGTCCTTGCTGCAGAATTTCCCTTTTCCACCGTGACTTTGCACATTACTGTAAAACCTGTACCATTTAACAGCCTATTCTGATTTTTCCCTTTGATTTTGCTGCTGCCCAGCCCTAAGGCCCATGCTCTCCATTCCCAAGCCTTATCCCAGCTCCATCACTGCTCTGCTCTTGGGAATCCATGGCATCTAGCCACACGCAATGAGTTAATTCCCTAATGGCAGGGCCAAGGGCATGCATTTACCTGAGAGTAAGGTAAGGTTGCTTATCTTTATTTCTTATTTATTTTTCCTGTTCAATTCCAATTTAGTGAAGCTTTTTTGCTGTCAGCTGCCAATTTGCCAAGCAGCAGCGTAGCTGGGGGCAGTGAAAGATGCAGCCTCCTCCTTCCTTGAGGCTGAACGCAAGCCATGCTTTTCATAAGGGGGGGAAAAAAAAGAAGAGTTAACTGCACAGCTGGATTTGTAAAAATCAGCAATTTTTGATTTTGGGAAAATGGAGATTTTTACTTAAAGCCATGATAAAGAATATTTAAATTCAACCACCTAGAATACACATCTCTGAAAAGTCAGCCCGCGCTGTCCCGTGTAACACCTCTTGCTGGTTTTTCCACCCCGGGTGTCTGCAGTTGTACTATCGGTTTCACCGTTTCCTGCAGTTCCTTTACAGTGAGTTCATTTTGTTTGGCTGCTTTTTTTCTTTTTTTTTTTTTCTTTTTGTCATAACACAACATAAAAAGGGAGAGGGGAAAAAATGCTTTTAAAAATAGGAAAAAGTTTGCAGTTTTACAGTCTCTTTGGCAGTGGCTCGCAACAAATGCAGTGCTTGAAACCATCCGAAAGCCTGATGCAATTAAATTGGTGATCCTTTCTTTGGTATTAGTGTGGAAATATGAAAACATATAATGGTAGTACGTTGTACTGAGCACCAGTCTTTTGCTTTGTAGCTGTCATGAGACCTATAGAAGCCATGTGCTGCACCCGTTTTATGAATGGTGCGGCAGGAAGTCTGCTTCGATACAGAAAGTGTCGCCAGCTCGCTATTGCGAGATAGAAGTCTGAAAGTTAAAGGTCTTAAAGCCATGACGTCTGGACTCACATAATCACATGAGGATTTCTGCTTCCACGTACAGCATAGTGCTTGTTGGTGTGGGGAGAAGATGTGGCAGTAATTGGCAGGCTATCTAGAGGTTGCAAACTGGAAGTCAAAGATAATTTATGCTTTAAAAATTAATAATCTTACTGGCTTTGAAAATAAAACCACCACAGCAAAATGCTCCACAACCTAAAAATTCCTCTTGGACCTGGCTTTAAGTATTGGGCAGGTAATACTGGAGAAACTCAGCAGCTGGCACTGGTAACAGGGTTTGGTTGCACTGGGAATGGTGGTATAGCAGACCTGGCGTGAGCCTTTTCCTGTGGGCTGGGTGGTAGCATAGAGTAATGTGGAATTTTTACCTAACAGCTGGGTTTTAACCTGAATTCTCTCTGAAATTTCCCTGGTGGGGTCTCAGTCCCCAGCTCACAGGCGGCATTGCTCAGCAGACCCAAACAACCCACTTCTTTTGACTGTGAGTTTGTCTCATTTCAGATCCGTAGCTTTATTACTAGGAAACCCTTTTGCATGTGGCGTGCCCATTGCTGCTTCACAGCTCTGGAGAAAGCCCA